CTTCAAGGGGAGTGCGACCCCATCCAGCACAGGCCTCCTTTGCCTCCAAGCTCCTCTTCCTGACTCCCTGCAGCCTTGCGGAAAGAGGAGGAGGAGCCAACCAGGAGCGCCTGGCTGTTTGGCTCACATAGGAGCCGGCAGCCATTTTGGAGAGGGGGCAGGGCCAACCGAGGTGGCTTCACGACCCCTGAAAAATGGCCCAGTGACCCCCTTGGGGGTCGCGGCCCCCAGGTTGGGAACCGCTGATCTAGATGGTTGCAAATCCTGCAGATACTCTGGAGTTTCCTACAATTTTTTTTGAGTATCCCAACTTTGGTGAGTGCAGAGCAAAGTCAAGTTAAAAATATAAACGAGACATGTTGTGTCCCCATACATTTCATTATTACCTCCAGTTTGGTAATAAAACTGAATTACTGTGTTGCGAAATGATGGGTACCTAAAAAGGTGTGTCCTCAACATGAAAGAGTTGGGAAGCTCTGGCACAAAATCAAAGAAACGCAGGAGAGCCAAGAAAATAGCAAGAGGAAGCAGCCTTGAGATGTTTACACTCCAGCTTTGCGGAGTATCCCTACCTGAAGGACGCAGCCAAGCCCAGGGCTTGCGGGAAGGCGGTTGCCCAGGCCGGGGCCTCTACGTCTCCTCGGAGGCATTCCGTGTTCCAGTTGAATGGGCCAATGCCCAGCCGTTCAATGGGGGGTGCCGGGCCGTTGGGACCTGCACCTCCTCTTGCCATCTGTATGCAAATATAATAACGATTCAGGCCATTTCTCAGAACTCGTAGCACTGCAAATTTTCAATGAGTGCCAAAGAACTAAAGCTTTTGCAACCATCCTTCCAAGCACTTTTTCCCACTCCCTTCAACCACTAAATATACAGACACCAAGACGCACTGCTGACAGGTGCAATCCCAGGTTTTGACTGTGAGCAACTCATTTAATGCAGGAGGCTGCCCTTAATCATATTTTATGATTGGAGGTGTCTGTCGAAGTACTGTATATGCCGAAACCAAATAAGTCTCCATACAACTCATGAGCATCCAACCCTTTGATTTACATTCTACAAACCCCAGTTAATGCAAGTTTAAAAATAGCCAACGTCATCAAGTTGTGGTTGGAAATTTCTCACATGCCTCTAGTTGCCTTTATGCAAGGTTCGGGCTGAATCAGACCTTCAGTTCTTGTAATCAGAGTTCTTGTAATACAGGTTGGTCTCCCTTATCTAAAATGCTTGGGATCAGAAGTGTTTTGGATTTTGGAAAACTTATATTTGCGTATGAGCACATACTGAGATACCTTGGAGATGAGATTCAAGCCTAAACATGAAATTCATTTATGTATCAGGTACTCCTTACACAGTGAGCCTGCCGCATTTGCTAAAGTTAGGGGTACAGGGCTCTTGTGAAAGTGAAAAACGGCAAATACAAAAAATTCATTTAGACAGAAACAGCTAGTCTTCTAGTTTTCCAAGGTCCCCCCAATGTGACTTTATGGTCAGCTTCTAGAGAACTTTCCTGGAACCTAGACTCCTTCTACAATCTATATAAATAAAAACGTAATGTTTGTTTGTGGGATTAACATAACTCAAAAACCACTGGGCGAATTGCCACCAAATTTGGCCACATAACACCTACTAACCCAAGGACTGACCATCACTCAAAAAAATTGATTTTGTCATTTGGGAGTTGTAGTTGCTGGGATTTATAGTTCACCTACAATCAAAGACCATTCTGAACTCAACCAATGATGGAATTGAACCAAACGTGGCATACAGGACCCCCATGACCAACAGAAAACACTAGAAGGGTTTGCTGGGCATTGACCTTGAGTTTGGGAGTTGTAGTTGACCTATATCCAGAGAGCACTGTGGACTCAAACAATGATGGATCTGGACCAAACTTGGCATGAATATTCCATATGCCCAAATATGCACACAGATGGAATTTGGGGAAAATAGACCTTGACATTTGGAAGTTGTTGTTACTGGGATTTATAGTCCACCTACAATCAAAGAACATTCTGAATTCCACCAACGATAGAATTGGGGCAAACTTCCCACACAGAACCCCCATGACTAACAGAAAATACTTAAGGCCAGTCAATCCAACTCCCTTCACCAGAGCAAGAAAACGTAATCAAAGCCCTCCTGACAAAGAGCCACCCAGTCATAGATATAGAAAGATATAAATGATTCACACACAGATGGATATAGTATCCTAGATTTGAAAGGGACCCTTAAAGAAGGACAATTATATGTTGCATGTTCCAGAGTAGGCAAACCAGACAATCTCCACATCAACACTGACAAAGAAACAGGAAGAAATACTGTTTACCTACAAGCATAAAGAAATTACATATATTAGAAACCAAAACTTTCTCATTACTTTATTTTCCAGATCAACAGACTGGGCCACAGCAACGTGTGGCAGGGGACGGCTAGTGCCACATAAAATCCGAAGAGCTTTCTAAATGCCGATGACCTTGACCTAACAACACAAGCAAAAGACTTTGAAATAGTCAAAATTTAGCTTACGAATGCCCTGGAAGATCTCTCCAGCTACTACAAAGTTAACCACCTAAAGCCTTGCCTTGCCTTGCCTTACCAAGACACAAGTGTGTGCTTCCCACCTACGTAACTGTGAAGCCAATAGGAATTTGAAAGTTACTTGGGAAGGCCAAGAGCTTGAACATTGCTTCCATCCTAAATATCTAGGTGTCACATTAGATTGGACACTAACATTTAGGAAACACTGCATGGACACCAAGCACAAAGTAGCTGCACACAATAACATCCTATGGAAACATACTGGCAGCATATTATTATTATTATTATTATTATTATTATTATTATTATTATTATTATTAAACTTTATTTGAACCCTGCTAGCATCTCCCGAAGGACTTACAAAGGCCAAGGCCTCAATACACAACATACAATACACTTAAAGCAAATTAAACAACAAGAACCACAACAATAAACAATTCATCAAACAAGATAAAACTGGGCCGGGCCAGAGTAAAGGGTACAGGATTAAAAGTGCTGATGTGACAGGTGATATGTAAGGATTATAGGCAAGTGCAATGTGCAGTGTGCGGCAGTCTTAATTCTAATAAAGAGCGTCTGGGACTTGGTATTGGAGATTCCCTAATCAGGAAAGGCACATCGGAACAGCCAGGTCTTCAAGTTCTTTCTGAAGACTGCCAATGTAGGGGCCTGTCTCAGATCTTTGGGGAGAGTGTTCCAGAGACGGGGGGCCACCACGGAAAAGGCCCTGTCTCGTGTCCCCACCAAACGTGCTTGCGACACCGGCGGGATCACGAGCAGGGCCTCTCCAGATGAGCATAGTGAGCGCGTGGGTTCGTAGATGGAGATGCGGTCACGCAGGTAGGCTGGTCCCAAACCGCACATGGGGTGCAGACCCAAAATTAATAAGGATATCACCTCTGGCCTTGTCGTACTCAACTGCTAAGTATGCCTGTCTTGTTTGGTACAAGTCTGCCCATGCGAAGCAGGTGAATATACGTAGCATTGAACAAAACATGCAGAATAATCACAGGATGTCTTAAACTCTACAAGCTAGCTGGCATTGCCATCCCTGATGTGCGACAGGAAGTTGCTGCTAACTGTTAGAGAAATGAGGTTGAACACCGTGAAAGCCATCCACTGCATGGCTATCAGTCTCCTCCCGGTAGACTCAAATCAATGAAAAGCATCACGAGAACCACCACTCCTCTTAAGGTTCCTCCAGCAACAGCAAGAGTATCCCTCTGGGCAGCTAAACCAGGAAATCCCAATTGGATGGACCCCCACGAGGGTCTGCCTTCAGGGGCACACCAAGAATGAGCAACTTGGAAGTCCCTGAATAGACTCAGAAGTGGAGTGGGCAGATCAAAAGACAACCTGGCAAAATGGCACTACCTAAAAGAATCCTCCACCTTGTGCGACTGTGAAGCAGAACAGACATCTCCACATCTGTAGGCTTGTCCACAATGTCCTGCCTGATGTACACAGGAAGAATTGATGGAGGCTACAGACAATGCGGTTGCTGTTGCTCACTTTTTTTGTCAAAAGATATTTAGCCACTTGTGCTTCTTCTATTTTTATCAGTTTTATACTAATTCATGCAATGCTTTTGATACAAAGTAAATAAATAAATAAATATAAAATCCAAATTATCTGATTTGAACTGGATTATATGGCAGCATGGACTCATATAATCCAGTTCAAAGCAAATAATGTGGGCTATCTGCCTTGATAATCTGGATTATACGGCAGGTTAGAAGGGGCCATAGAGATTTACAGAATTAGCATTTTAATCAAATCCATGGATAATCAAATCTACAAAAACCAAGCAAACACATATGGTGGATTGACTGCTGCACATAGATTTGGAAGGTAATTTCATAGACAATATTTTAAATAATTTTCAGCATGAAACAAAGTTTGTGTACATTGGACCATTAGAAAGCAAAGGTGTCACAATCTCATGAACAATTTCAGATTTTGGAATATTTTGGATTTCAGGATTCTGGATAAGGGATGCTCAACCTGTGGTTTGTACGAGTGTTATCCTGAAAATAAGGTTACAAGATTTTTTTAAAAAAATACAAAGAATGAATATATTTTAATCAAACTTACATGGATAGTAGCACAGGTATTACATTATTTTTCCACATAATCACCATTCAGTTCAATACATTTTGTCATCTATGGGACGACCTTTTGATGCCTGTGTTATAGAAATTTCCCTCCACCTTCTTCAACCAGTTTGTCACTTTGATTTTCACCTTGTCGTTGCTGGAAAAGTGTTTTCCACCCAGGTGTTCCTTCAATTGGGTGAACAGATGATAGTCACTGGGTGCAAGATCAGAGCTATGAGAGGGTGGCTTAAAACATCCCAACTGAATGAAGTCAACAACTCTTGTGTTGCATGAGTGGTGTGTGGATATGCATTGTCATGAATGAGACAGACTCCTGTCATCAGCATCCCACAACATTTGTTTTAGATGGCTCTGTGAAGTTTCTTCATGGTCTCACAATATATTCCATACCCATTTTGTCACATGCTGTTTTGACATTATGTCCTCTCCATAAACTGAAATGATTTCACGATGAATCGCAGTAGCGTTCATGTCCTTAGCATTTAGGTAGCATATTACAGTGCGAACTTTGCAGTTGGAGGGAAACGGAATGAGGAGGCTCATCTCTAACCTTCACCACAACGCCAGTCGATGAGCTACTGACGACTGGCACTGCTTGTTCGCTTCTGCTGGCTTCCCGCTACACGGCAGTGATACAACTTCCACAGTGAAAATTCCTCGCAAGAGCTACGTGCCTTGTAACCTTACTTTCTGGATAAACCTCGTACAATAATCTTTTGAGATGGCTTTGAAAGGCTGCAGATCACAGGAGCTGTCTTCATAGACCTGTCAGCAGCCTATGATACTGTGAACCACCGCCTCCTCCTGAGAAAAATGTATAATATCACAAAGGACTACCACCTCACCCGCCTCATAGGAAACCTGCTACAAAAAGGAGCTTTTTTGTTGAGTTCCAGGGCCAGAGAAGCAGATGGCGGAAACAGAAGAACGGCCTGCCTCAGGGGAGCGTGCTTGCTCCATCCATGTTCAACATCTACACAAATGACCAGCCACTGCCAGAAGGGACAGAGAGCTTCATCTATGCTGATGATCGTGCCATCACTGCTCAAGCAGGAAGCTTTGAGATGGTAGAACAGAAGCTCTCCGAAGCTCTAGGTCTTACTGCCTATTACAGGGAAAACCAGCTGATCCCTAACCCATCTAAAACACAGACATGTGCTTTTCATCTCAAGAACAGACAAGCATCCTGAGCTCTGAGGATTACCTGGGAAGGAATCCCACTGGAGCATTGCAGCGCACCCAAATACCTGGGAGTCACTCTGGACCTTGCTCTTACCTACAAGAAGCACTGCCTGAACATCAAGCAAAAAGTGGGTGCTAGAAACAATATCATACGAAAGCTGACTGGCACAACCTGGGGATCACAACCAGACACAGTGAAGACATCTGCCCTTGCGCTATGCTACTCTGCTGCTGAGTATGCATGCCCAGTGTGGAACACATCTCACCACACTAAAACAGTGGATGTGGCTCTTAATGAGACATGCCGTATTATCACGGGGTGTCTGCGCCCTATACCACTGGAGAAATTACACTGCTTAGCCGGTATTGCACCACCTGACATCCGCCGGGAAGTAGCAGCCAATAGTGAAAGGACCAAGGCAGAGACATCTCCAGCTCATCCCCTGTTTGGGTATCAGCCAGCACGTCAACGACTTAAATCTAGAAATAGTTTTCTAAGATCTACAGAGACACTCGCTGGAACACCTCAGCAAGCGAGAGTACAAAAGTGGCAGGCTCAAACCCAGAACCTCAACCAATGGCTGATACGCAATGAGAGACTCCCCCCTGGGCACACAGAAAACTGGGCGACTTGGAAGGCTGAACAGACTGCGCTCTGGCACCACGAGATGCAGAGCCAACCTCAAGAAATGGGCTACAAAGTGGAATCCACGACATGCGAGTGTGGAGAAGAGCAAACCACTGACCACCTGCTGCAATGCAACCTGAGCCCTGCCACATGCACAATGGAGGACCTTCTTGCAGCAACACCAGAGGCACTCCAAGTGGCCAGCTACTGGTCAAAGGACATTTAATCAACTACCAAGCTTGCAAATTTTGTATTTTGTCTGTTTGTTTGTTTGTTTTGTTCTGTTAGAAATGTAATACAATTGACTGGTTGCCCTGACACGACAAATAAAGAAATAATTTCTGTCATCCCCTTCTAATGAATTATTATTATTATTATTATTATTATTATTATTATTAAACTTCATGTATATCCTGACTTTCTCTCCATGGGGTCTCAAGGCAGCTAACAACCACACAATCTAATAACAACTGAGAACAAAACAAATACAAAAATTAAAAAGCAATTAAATATTAGTGTATGGATATAAAGTTAAAATACAGTTAAACGGCTATATTATTAAATATAATCTTGTACCTGCAGCACCATCTCCTCGAGGGTTAGCCTGTTGATCAGGTCATCCAGCCGCTCTTCCCAGGGTAAAGTGGGATTGCGGAAAGGGAAGTCCTGCCCTTGGCTCAGGCTAGCCAGCAGCAACATGGTGGAGATGCGAAACACAGCCATCACTTTTGGAATAATGAAAAACACAGATATGAGAGGACAGTTCTGCCGAAGACCCACATTCCCTTCAGCCACAAATCAATCCTATTTTCTAAGAACATCATTTCGATTCAGGGCATCAGGGCCAAAGGAATCCTTACCAAAGGATGTCCACATCACACCTTACTTACTTACTTAAATTCTCTGCTCATACATAGTTTGTTGCTGTGTGGCTTCAAGTCATTTCCAACCTATAGTGACAAACTCATCGCAGGTGTTTCTGTGCCAGTTTTGTTGGGGTAGATGCCTTTCAGACTGAGGCCCCATCTACACTGCCATATGATCCAGTTTCTGAATCCAGATTATCTGCTTTGAACTGGATTATATGGTAGTGTAGACTCAAGTAAACCAGTTCAAAGTAGATAATCTGGATTCAGAAACTGGAGCCTGGAGTAACGTCAATACCTGACAATTTCACCTTATGCCTGGAGGCTCTGTTGAACTGGCTACGTGCTAGCAGACTGAAGGTGAATCCGGCGAAGATGGAGATCCTGTGGCATTGCCGCCCAATAGGTCCGACCCATCCGTTACCTACCTTTGATGGCGCTACTCTATCTCCATCGCCTACCGTTAAGAGCCTTGGTGTCGTTTTGGATTTGCAGCTGACGATGGAGGCTCAGGTCGCTGCTGCCAGCAAACAGGCCTTTTTCCATCTACGACAAGCGAGGTAACTGGCACCTTACCTGTCGGATGAGGCTCTGGCAACAGTCATCCATGCCACGGTCACATCTAGGCTGGACTATTGTATGTTGGCCTTCCTATTTCTACGACCCGAAAGCTCCGTATTGTCCAGAATGCTGCAGCCAGGTTACTCACAAAAACGTGCATGAAATGCCATATAACACCAGTAATGCGGCATCTACGCTGGCTCCCAATTGATTATCGTGGTTTGTATAAGATGCTGGTCCTGACCTTTAAAACTTTATATGGCCAGGGTCCATTGTATCTTGGAGACCGTCTCTCCTTCTTCCATCATCGGAGGTCGCCAGGACCATCCCAACGCGATTTGCTCTATATACCGGGTCCTAGGGAAGTGCACTTGGAGAGCACCAGACGCAGGGCCTTCTCAAATCAAATCAAAACATTTATTTCGGTCATTGACCAGCACAGGAAATAGTGTCACGTTTCCATACAAACCTGGCATGTTTGGTACATTAAAAATATAAATACAACTACTAAAAACACAATATGGGTGAGGGAGCAGAAGGGGAAACAGGGTAAAAACATACAATGCCCAGATCCATCACCAAATTGTAGATTCAGGGAAGACGATTACTGGACACACAGTTGACTTTTGGAACTAGTCATTCCCTGGCGGATTTTGTATGCTGCTGCACAAAACTTTGCGACATTGTAGGTTGTAGCTGAATTAGTATCCGCAAGTAGCAGGGAGGTATAAAATTGTCCTGAATGGCCTGGGTGCTTGTCTATCAAGGGTAAGATAAGCCTGGCACGGATATCCCTGTAGAACGGACACTGAAGGAGCACATGTTCTATTGTTTCCACATGACCCGAGTCACAGGGGCAGAGTCTCTCTGGGAAAGGGATCTTCCGGTAGCGGCCCTCGAGTACAGCTGATGGGAGAGCGTGGCATCGGGCCAGGGTGAAAGCCCTTCGATGAATAGGAACCTCTAAGTTTGTTAAATATGCCATAGGGGAGGCAAGATATCTGCTGTCTTCACTGATAAGGAAGGTTGGAGCCGAGGCCAGATCTAGTTGGCGCTCTGTGTCTGTGATACGTTGTTTAATAAGTGCTTTGGCTTGATTGTAATCCATAGCTAATAGTAGACCTGGAGAAAATCCCAACGAGGAGATTTTGGATGCTACCGCCTGCTTCCATGTGGATTGGAAGTCATCCTCCATGGTTAGTGGGGCAAGGCCAAGGGGTGCACGGGACAGTCTGAGCCAGAGGTTAAGTATGGCCACCCACACCCTGGCCTCCACTCTCATAAAGCCCGTCTCTAGTCGCAGGGTGGCATTAGAAACACATTTAGGTACCTGCAAGGCCGATCTCAGAAACTTGGACTGAACCAGCTCTAATGGGGCAAAACTGGGGAAGGGGCCCAGCTGAGCACCATACAAGAGTTGGGCTAATGACTTGGCTTCAAACAGCTTGAGCGCTGCCGGTGTGAAGTGGCCCCCTCTTGTCCTGAGATATTTAAGAATGGCAATTGAGCTCCCCTGCGCGGTGTTGGATACTTGATCCCCATGAGCTCTTCTGCTACCATTAGATTGGAGAACTACACCTAGATATTTGAAGGATGTAACTTGTTCAATTTTATGACCATCTATGCTCCAAGAGTGAGTCCTGGGCCTATTAGCGAAAGCCATGATTTTGGTTTTATTGTAATTGAGTTGGAGCTGATCTGTGTTGCAATGTTGTATTAATGCTCTCAAAGCTCTTTTGAGCCCAATGGGTGTTCTAGAGAGTACAGCAGCATCATCTGCATAAAGCAGGATGGAGATGTGTCTTCCCGCCAGCTTTGGGGGGTGGAAGTCCATATTTTGAAGCTGGTCCACTATGGAGTTTATATAGAAGTTGAACAACAAAGGGGCCAGAAAGGATGCAGCCTTGCTTGACACCCTTGCATGTTTCAACAGCCTCAGTGAGGTGGCCCTGTGGGTTGCATCTTACTTTGAGTGTGGTCTTTTCGTGAAGTTGGCGTATTAGATATAATAGACGGCGATCAATTGTAGAACTCTCCAGTTTTTCCCAAAGCTTAACTCGCGAGATGGAATCAAATGCTGCTTTAAAGTCAATAAAAGCAGCATATAGTGAGGTTATGTGAGGTTATGTTTTGAGAGGAATATTTTTCCACAAGGTGTTGCAGCACTAGGCACTGATCTATGGTGGATCGACCTTCCCTGAATCCAGCTTGCTCCTCAGCTAATATGCTTTCTTGTTCCAACCAATCTTGGAGTTTCCATTGTAGATGTCTAGCATATAGCTTGCTGATAGTGTTAAGGAGGCTGATTGGTCGATAGGGGCCTTCTCTGTTTCTGCCCCTGCCTTATGGAATTCCTTGCCTCCCTATTTGAGAGCCATGCATGACTTAGGGCATTTTATCCTAGCACTTAAGACCTGGCTTTTTACTAGAGCATTTGACCCATGTTAATTTTAATATTTGTATGTATGTGTTTTATCCTGTATAATTTCTGCAATGTAAATCGCCTGGAGCATCTCGGATGGAGGGCGATTAATAAGTAATTAAAGATGATGATGATGATGATGATGATGATGATGATATGGCAGTGTAGGCCCACACGGAGAGAGTATAACTGCCCAAGTGGATTTCCACAGCTGAATGGGGATTCTAACCCCGGCCTCCAGAACCGTAGCCCAATGCTCAAATGGTGTACCAGGAGTCTCTCCCACATTACCAGGCTCCTTTACAACAGGGTTTCCGAATTGCATGGTGTGCTTGTAGGTGTATAGTAGACAACAACCAAAATAAGAAGTTTGATAGCCCCTTCACTGAATAAATCTTGCCAAGCTCAACTTTCAGAACACCCCACTTATTCAGTCCTGTTGTTGTTGTTGTTGTTGTTGTTGTTGTTCTTCTTCTTCTTCTTCTTCTTCTTCTTCTTTTCCTTCTTCTTTTCCTTCTTCTTCTTTTCCTTCTCCTTCTTTTCCTTTTTCTTCTCCTTCTTCTCCTTTTCCTTCTCCTTCTTCTCCTTTTCCTTCTCCTTCTTCTCCTTTACCTTCTACTTCTTTTCCTTCTCCTTCTCCTTCTTTTCCTTTTCCTTCTCCTTCTTTTCTTTTTCCTTCTCCTTCTTCTCCTTTTCCTTCTCCTTCTTCTCCTTTTCCTTCTTTTCCTTCTTCTCCTTTTCCTTCTTTTCCTTCTCCTCCTTCTCCTTCTTTTCCTTCTCCTTCTTCTCCTTTTCCTTCTCCTTCTTCTCCTTCTTTTCCTTCTTCTCCTTTTCCTTCTTTTCCTTCTCCTCCTTCTCCTTCTTCTCCTTTTCCTTCTTCTCCTTCTCCTTCTTCTCCTTTTCCTTCTTTTCCTTCTTCTCCTTTTCCTTCTCCTCCTTCTCCTTCTTTTCCTTCTCCTCCTTCTCCTTCTTTTCCTTCTCCTCCTTCTCTCTTTTCCTTCCTTCTTTTCCTTTCCTTCTTTTCCTTCTCCTTCTTTTCCTTCTCCTTCTCCTTTCCTCCTTTTCCTTTTCTCTTCTCCTTTTTTCCTTCTTCTCCTTTTCTTCTTCTTCTTCCTCCTTTCTCTTCTTCTTCTTCTTCTTCTTCTTCAACTACCAAGGTACAGAAATATAGTTATTCTTGTTTTTCTTTTTCACTTCAAAAAATACCAAGGTACACTTCACAAAATACCAAGGTACAGGAATATTATTGAATATTTATACCTCAGTATGGTCAAACATATACCTTGTCTGTCTCCTGATGAATCTGTATTACAACCAAGCAGTAACAGTCAGAACAGACCATAGAATAACAGACTGGTTTGAGATTGGGAAAGGAGTACGGCAGGGTTGTATACTCTCACCTGACCTATTTAACTTGCATGCAGAACACATCATGTGACATGAAGGGCTTGATGAATCCAAAGCTGGAGTTAAAATCAGATATGCAGATGATACCACTTTGATGGCTGAAAGCGAAGAGGAGCTAAGGAGCCCTCTAACCAAGCTGGAAAAAAAAAGTGCAAAAGCTGGGTTGCAGTTAGACATCATGAAAACCAAGATTATGGCAACCAGACTGATTGACAACTGGCAAATAGAGGGAGAAAACGTGGATGCAGTGATAGACTTTGTATTTCTAGACATGAAGATTACTGCAGACACAGACTGCAGCCAGGAAATTAGAAGACGTTTCCTTCTTGGGAGGAGACCATTGACCGATCTCGATAAAATATTGAAGAGTTGAGACATCACACTGGCAACGAAGGTCTGCATAGTTAAAGCAATGGTATTCCCTGTAGCAATCTATGGATGTGAGAGCTGGACCATAATAAAGACTGAC